AACCTTGTAAAGGTGGAGTATAGTATGATACTCTTTATAGGGAGGTCACCTATATAAGTGTGAAGTGTGGGCCGCTTCAAATGTAAACACTTATGAACCCATTGTGTTGTCCATGGCCAAAACGGACACAACGATAAAACGAAATGGAGTTAAGACTTTATTGTGTAAATGTCATTGTCTCGGTGTACACTATGGAGGAATAGTTCAAGGCATTACGTCCACTAGTTCGCCAGTGCATCCGATGACGTTTACTAAAAAAGGTTCAAAGCCAAAAGCTACATTTTCTGATCCAATAGAGTTTTGTGAGGATTGAGCACAATAGTATATATATATTATTTTACACTCATGTGGGGGATTGTTATAATTGAGTGTAAAATAAATTTATTCTAACTAATATTCCATCTACTATTCTTATTCTTCCAACTAATCCTCCCTAACTTCTTCATTATTGAGGAGTTTGACTTTTGATTCCTATATCTATTAAAAGGCCTTCAGCCGTATGAGAAGGAAGAAGGAGAGTGTATATCTATTAAAAGATAGATTTATGTCTAATTATCAGACATAAAAGTATCAAAAGAGAATAAACAAATAATATTTTTATTTATTTTATGATATATCTTTTTATTTTTAGTGCTCAATTCTCAACTCCGTTCAAGTTCGTCGGTGCTCGTAAATCTGGTGTGCTACAGATTTAGAGACGTTTGTCGTTGTATCTTGAGGGAAGTTACGCCTGAACCATTAGCAGTCACACGGGGCGTATTCTTCTTGCGGAAAGAGTTTTACTCGCCTCGACTAAAATCTTTTCGAGTTTCAGTTGTATTTTATTTTTCAGTTCGATTGTAATTTTCTATTTTTATAGATTATTTGTATGAACTGAAAAATATCAGTTCGTAGGATTCCCGTATATTTATACCAAAATATCCAACATCTTCCACCGCTTGCGCCATGGAAATCGAATTAACATGAAGTGTTTGTTGCCAGAAAGGCCAACTGACGGCAGACGGCTGTGTGCCACCTTGGTCAATTAACATGAAGTATTTTCAACCAGCAGCAACGACTCCATCACCCCCCTCACCTGCGTCACCGCGGTCAAGGCTGCCGCCTTCACGATCTCCGATTTGTTCTCCTTGAAACCCGCCCAAAAAAAAAAACGAGTCGCAAGAAAATTCATTCATTCTGGAGATGGTAGACATCGCCGGGTGCACCACGGCTTGAGGAATACAGTGGTGTCCTTGGATTTTGGTGGGTCGCCCGAATCACTGGGAAAATGAAGAAGAAGCCAGATTTTGACCGAAAGTTTTTAAGATCTAAAAATTTTGACCAAGCAATTGACGGGTTTATCGGTAGAATTTTTTGCCGGAAATTTTAAGAGGTGAACGAGGATGAGAAGAGCTTAAGGTAATGTAAAAAAATAAGATTAAAAAATTCTACTCGGAGGTGGTCGAACGACGGCCAGCGAAAGGTAGCGGTAGCCGACAGCGGCAGGCGGCGGAGGATGGGGAAAGACGATTTTAGAATTTCAAGGGATCGTGTTTTAAAATTTAATATGTTCGGTGGACTATTTTGTAATTTCAAAAGTTTTAACTAATTGCAACTAAGCCCTGAAGCTGATGTGGATTTTTTTTATTTAAAGTCAATATTTCATAATCCTTTCACATAAACTATAATCACGCCATGTAGCATTTAAAAATGCCATGTCATGCCACGTCACGTTTTTATCCGGGGCGCAGATAAAAAAAGGACCATAAGTGATGAAATCGATA